GAAACCGTGATATGCAGATAATTTGCTTCCTGAAAGTTAACAAAACTTGAAGCATTTACTGATGAAGCATTTACTAATGAAGATAAATGACTGAAGTCTTCGGTATGGATTACACTTCAACATAAAGAAAACAAAAATCCTCACAACTATACCAATAAGCAAAATCACATTAAATGCAAAAAAAAGATTGAAGTTCTCAAGGATTTCATTTTACTTGGATCCATAATCAATGCCCATGGGAGCAGCAGTCAAGAAACAAGACGACATATTGTACTGGCAAATCTGTTGCAAAAACCTCTTTAAAATGTTAAAGAACAAAAATGTCGCTTTGGAAACTAAGGTGCACCTTACCCAAGCCATGGCATTTTCAATCACTTCAAGTGAAAGCTTGCAATGAAAAGGAAGACTGAAGAAGAGCTGATGCCTTTGAATCATATCCTGGATGAAGTATAGCTGTAATGCTCCTTAGAAGCTAGAAAGGCCAGACAGTGTCACATGTACTTTGGTCTGACAACACATTAGAAGGCACCAGTCTCTGGAGACAGATATCATGTGTGGTGAAGTGGAGGGTGAGTGAAAAAGGGAAAGACCTTCAGTGAGATGGATTGACACAGTGACTGCCTACAGTGAGGGGCTCAAGCATGGCAAAAGTCGTGAGGATTGCACAAGACCAGACATTGCTTCTTTCTGTTGTAAATATGATTGCTATAAGTTGGAACTGACTCAGTGGTACCTAATGACAAAAACTCCTATTAATATTAAACTCACTGCCGTCAAGTTGGATCCGACTTATAGAGACCCCTCCTTGGGTTTCTGAGGCAGTATCACAATGGAAATAAATTGTTCAACCTTCCCTCCGAGGAGTGGCTGGTGGATTTGAACTACCAGCCTTCTGGTTAGTAGACAAATGCCTTAAGCACTATGCCACCAGACCTCCCAGCATTGTATAATGCTTGTGATAAATCAGGTTCTTTTCTAAGCACTTCAAATACATTTATACATATATCCTCTTAAAAATTCTATTGCAAATGCACTATTACGATCCCTATGTTGTAGATGATGAAACTAAGGCAAGAGGCTAAATGACTTTCCCAGAGTGGTAATGTCTGGATTTAAAACAAGTGAAATCTAGCACCAGAGCTCACATTCTTAACTATTGTACTTTTTGCTTAAAAGAAAAAAAAGAAAAAGAAACCACTATTGCCTTGGCTTCAATTCTGACTCACAATGACAATACAGGGCAGAGTAGAACTACCCCCATAGGGTTACTAAAGCTATCACATCTTTCTGCCACAGATTTAACTGCCAACATTTCAGTTAGCAGTAGAGCATTTAAGCATTGCACCACAGGGCCCCTATACAGGGAGGAAAAAAAGAAGCATGAATGGAAGCAGAAAAATAAATGTATGTAGTTTCCTAGCACTATCAGAAAGGATTGGTAGTAAGCCTAACTGGAAAACAGGGTTCATAAGCTGAATTGCAAAATAAAAATGAAGAACAAATTCTTGAAGTTCATGCCAAGGAGTTTTTCAGAAGAAAATTGGAAATACGTGAATTGTTCTAGGTCAGAGGGCAACTTCATCAAATTTATACATCATGAAAAGACCTTTGAGAGCACTGCTAAGGAGGAGAGACCAGATGGTGGAGACACAAAGTAATTGCCTTAGTCTCCTCATAAGAAAATGAAGGACTGAAATGTAGTCATGGTGAAGGTGGTAATGAGAGGCAGGTGTAAATTTATGAAACATGTAAGGTTTAGCAGATACATAATGTGGTGACTGATTAAATACCAAGGAGACTTGAACAGGTTTCTTTTCTCAGGGAAGGAATTGATAGTTAAGTCATTAATTAATATAGGAAGCATAGTGGAAGGTCTTTCATAGAAGATGTGCCTAATAAACACTATTGAATGAAGGCATAATATAATAGCTATACAAAGTTTATCTTTGCCCTACCAAATAAAATGAAAGTAGCATAGGCATTATCCATAGCATCTAATTACTGTGGTCCAATAGCTACTCTACTATGGATTTAAGTGTGTCTTACACTGAAGTGATCTTATATAAAAATCTCGGTGGTACTGTGCCTAAAGCATTTGACTGCTAACCAGAAGGTTGGCTGTTCAAACCCGCTAGCTGCTCCGTGGAAGAAAGATTGGGCAATCTACTTTCATAAAGATTTACCACCTCAGAAACCCAATGGGGGTCACTATGAGTCAGAATGGACTCAATGGCAGTGAGTTTGGTTTTGGTTTTGGGATACAAAAATCTAAACTAATTTTAGGTAGCTGCTCATTTTATTAAAGAATTAAAAATAAATTACTTTCAACAGTAATTTCTGTAGTATACTTACAAAAGTATTGATTTCACAGATCACAGTAGATTCACATGCAATTTTTAAGATATATCTATTGTAAAAATGAAAAAATAATATATTATGATAATATTTTATTTTAAAATTTGAATCAATTAAATCCTAAAAAACAAACAAGTTGATGAAATACAACAGTTGTTATTGGCTTAAAAAAACAGAATTTCTTAGAGTATTGTAAATAGCTGTTTTTCACTTGAAACTCTAAGGTTATACTTTTGTATTGTACACAGTTCAATTATGTATTTTTTAATTGTCTATTTTACAACAGACATTTATGGTTCTGGAAAATACTCTTTTACTTTGGTTCACATCTATGGGACTTATCTCAACCAGTAACAGGGATGCTCACTTTAGTCCAGTTACCAAGAATACAGCTATCAAAGTCATCTAAATGTCAATAAAACCCCAAAAAATATAGTTATATGACTTCAAAACATTTATACCTGTTGTGATAGTTGGAACTGTGTGTCAACTTGACTTGGACCACAATTCTGTGTAGTCTAAGCAGTTGTGATGTGGTTAGTCCCATGATGGGATCAGATGAATATGTTTTAAGCAGCCAATCCATTGAAAGGGAGTTTCCCTAGGGGTGTGGCCTGCTTCCAGTATATTTATGGACATCCTGGGAAAAGAGACATTTTGTGGATCAGGATTCTGTTGTGCTGCCTACAACTGTGCGTGAGCGAACAATCCACCATTCACCCTGGAGATCTTGGATTCATCATTCGTTGGAGTCAACAGCCAGCTACTGTAGCCTGCCAACCTTGAGCTCCTCAGCCCCTGCAGCTGCAAGAGTCAGGAAAAGCCTCCAGCTTGATGTTTGATCCAAGAACTTTGGACTTGCCAGCTTCTATAAGTGTGTGAGCCATTTTCCTAAGATTAATTTCTCTTTATATATATATACATATATAAGCTTTACTGGTTTTGTTTCTCTAGAGAACCCAGTCTAACACACCTGTATGTCTTTTAATATCTGTGGCATATCCATTTCCTGGCACACATGGTTGTTGTTGTTGTTGTTGGTATGTGCCCTCGAGTCAGACTTGACTCATAGTGACCCCTCACTGGGTTTCAGAGGCAGTATCAGTACGGAAGTAGATTAACCAACCTTCCTTCTGAAGAGTGGCTGGTGGGCTTGAACCATCAGGCTTCTGGTTAGGAGTTAAGTGCCTTAGGCACTAAGCTACCAGAGCTCCTGACACATATGGTAGGTACCTGATAAAATATTATTGAACAACTGAGCAAAATGCTATAAGTATAAATAGAGGATGCTTGAGTATATAGAATGGAACACATAATATTTATGGTTTCTGGATCCTACTTCTACTTGTACTGGAGAAAGAAAATGGGGGAATGAAATTCTGAAAGAGCATCACTAATAGGTCAATGAATTGCTTTTGCTTGTAATAAAAGATGATAAATGATAAATCCATTAATTGGTTCATTTTACATTTATTGAGCCCATGAGTGATTAATTCCTGCCCTCAAAGATGTCACAGTCAACAGAGGGAATCAGATGTAAAAATAGATAAATATAATTTGAAAATAAATTTGAAAATCCTCTAACAGAGAGGTGGGCAAGGGATTGATTGTTGTTAGTGGTGGTGATTGTCATAGAATCAATTCTGACTCATAGCAACTCCAAGAGGGAAGAGCAGGACTGCTCCATAAGATTTTTCAGGCTGTGACCATTCAAAAGCAGATAGCCAGGTCTGTCTTCTGGGCACCTCTGGTTGGGCTGGAACCTCTAGTCAGTCAGCTAGTAGTGACTATGTAACCATATCTAACACCCAGAACTCCTGGAGATTGAATAAGCCATAAGAAAATCTATTTTCTCATTTGTATTATTTATATAGTGCTTCAAATCCCTAAGGACACATGAATACTCAGGGCACAGTATCTCATGGCAAGTAATTCTGGGGAACATTTTTAACAAAAATACCATGGTTTGGTGGGAGAAGCAAAAAAGCATTGTTTGGTGGGAGAAGCAAAGACTACATCTGTAAAGGAAGCCTACAGTCAGAGGATGTTGTTGTTGTTGTTGTGTGCCATCAAGTTGGACCCAACTCATAGAGACCCCTCCTTGGGTTTCCAAGGCTGTATCACTAAGAAGTATACTGCCCAACCTTGCCCAACCTTCCTTCTGAGGAGTGGCTGCCAGCATTCTGGTTAGCAGTCAAGTGCCTTAGGCACTACGCTACCAAAGCTCCTGTGAGAATCAGAGGATAGAGGGACTTAAACTTTTACTTAAATTTTCTTTTGTCTAGAAGTTGTTTGTTATGGCTGTATTAAACCTACATATTATCTTTTATTTAATGGTGGATAAGTTTCCCATTTTTCCCCCCAGAGTAAACTATATACTCAAATTTCTTACTCATTATCTTTATGAAACTGCTATATTCATCCTTTGCTCAGCTCTACAAAAGAGGGTGTCTTTGAAATCAGTGAGCACAAGAAAGGAGAACAGAAGTGAAGAGCAAGAAGGGAACTGAACTCCGTGACCCTAAAGGATACATGTGGCATCCTTTATTTCTCACAACTAAAACAAAGCAAGAAAAAACAAAGCCAGATCTCAGGAGAACATTTATGTTCACTTTCATTTAAAAGCCAAATTTAATCTCTCTTACCTGAAAAGTTTTTGTAATCCACTAAATCAAACATAACGACAGCCACAGCTGACCATGTGATTATGAGAGCAATGACCAGGAGCCAGGCTGCCGGGGAGCTGAATGTCGTCACTATATCTTCTGTGACTGTTCTCTTCAGCACTTTTCCAGGGCATTTGGGCACTGATCCATTTTTGCTGTCTATCACAGTTGTGGTTGTAGATGCATTTCCTAATCAAATATTCAGAAAGGAAAATTACAAGTTAGAAATTCAGGTCAAACACTGACTAAAAAAAAAAAAACACATAGTTTATAGGAGTTTTATAAACCATGTTCTATATTAGAACCCACATCTTTGGTGGCAGGAGTATATCTCCATACCTACTACCACATTTTCTCTTCTTCAGCATCTATTTTCCACCCTAAAACCCATAGAATCAGCTCTTTTGGTCTCCCAAGTTCCATAAATGCCACCTCCCAGGCCACAAATTTTGTCTTCATCTTCAATATATTTTTGTATCCTCCTTACCACCTTCTATAGGAGCCCTGGTGGGAAAGTGGTTAAGTGGTTGGCCGCTAAGCGAAAGGTCTGTGATTCTAAGCCAGCAATCACTCTGCATGAGAAAGATGAGGCAGTCTGCTTCTGTAAAGTAAAGCCTTGGAATTCCAAAGAGCAATTCTACTCTGTCCCCTAAAATCACTATGAGTTGAAATTGACTTGATGGCAGCAGCTTTGGTTTGATTACCACCATCTATATACACCATGATAAAGAGAAATGGGATCTGGGAACAAGTTGCTTTTAACAATTTCTTTTATTTAGTTAATATGCTAATTTTGAATGCAGGTAAAAATATCTCCTATGAGGGGGAATGAAAATCAGTGATAAAATAGTTCAGAGGGGTGAAATGAATTCTGGATATCGTGGTTTAACTACATAATTGACAATTCTATTGAAGTCATTGTTTTTTATGTTTGTTTCTTATTTTTTTTTTTTTAAACATATATGGGAACTCTAGTGGCATAGTGCCGAAAGCATTTGACTGTTATCCAGAAGGCTGGTGTTCAAACCCACCAGCCACTCCTCAGAAGGAAGATTAGGCAATCTACTTCTGCAGAGATACAACCTCAGAAACCCAAGGAGGGGTCACTATGAGTCCAATCGACTTGACAGCAGTGAATTTGGTGGGCTTTTTTTACGGGGGGGGGGGTGCACTCTAGAATCACCCGAGGAACCTTAAAAAGTACAACTGTTGGACTCTCCC